CTAGAAAAAAGACTGAGGCACTGAAGCAATAGTTTCCTCAAAAAAAAAAAAAAGAAAAAAAAAGCTGAACAAATCCACTTCCCATTACTGCTCCACACTACCATCAACATCTGGACAAAGGTCCCAGTTATGCCCTTCACTTTAAAACAGGAACAATCCCACTAACCTCAATGGGACAACATACGTGCTTATGGTTAATCATGTAGGAAGTTGGTGCCTTACACCCCAACCATGGAATGAATCATAGAGAAATAGGGCTCGAAGGGCTCTCCAGAGATCATTAATCCAACCACCCTGACTGAGGCAGGATCATTCCTGTCCAAAACATCCTCTACACATCCATTATCTAAAATCACAACCTCCACCCATGCCTTGACTTGGCATGCCAGAGATGGGGGAGCAGCGAGGGGCCCGATCCTCATTGCTGGCAGTGGCTGCATGCATGCCTCTGGGTGGATGGCAGGGAAGGGGCTGGGGTCACGCTGCTCTGGCCCCTTTCCCACCAGACGCTGCAAGCAAAGCATGCATGGAGCCTGTGCCAGGGCTCTGGAGCCCAGAGCAGCTGTTTTCAGCCTCCCGGCTGCCTTCCACAGGCGCCCCAGGCTCTGGGCAGCTGTACCAAGTGGCTGGAAGGCTGCAAACATCTGTGCCAGGCTCCACAGTCCTGGAACTGGATCCGCAGTGGTGACAGTGGCACACATACCTCTGGGCAGACAGTGGGGGAGGAGCCAGGGTTGCACTGCCCCAGACCCTTTCCTGACCATGCGCCCAGAAGTGCACGCACAGCTGCCACAGCCACAGAACTGGTGCCAGGGCTGTGAAGCCCCATGCAGCTGTTTGCAGCCTCCCGGCTGCAGCTGATCCGGGCTCTGGGCAGCTGCTGGCAGAAGCTTCCCAGAGCTTGGGTCAGCTGTGGCATGCTGAAGAAAATGGTCTTGCATGCCATGCTCCTACATGCGTGCTGGGGGTTGCTGATCCCTGGTCTAATCTATTAGACAAACTGCAGTCAACCCTGACATGAGACATAGCACCCTAACCTGCCACAAGTAAAGCAGGGGGGTAATGGTGGCCCAAGTTCTACGCAGCAATTTTGTTAAAATATGCCTGAGAGATCCAAGAAAGCCGGCCACTCCGCCACTACAGAGGAAGGCAAAAAAACTCTCAGTCTGTACCAGTCTGATCATGGGTTAAAATTCCTTCCTGATATCAAGTATAGTGATTGGTCTGGCCCTGAATGGAAGGGCAAAACCCTCTAGTCAAGAACCTCCATGCTTATGTCCTAGCAGGAACACTGGCATGCCAAGTCTGCCATTCTGACATGAATCCAGTTATAATTATCCTTGAGCCAGTTTTCATTCACTTTACAGTAGTTTTGTCCAGCCCACATTTCTCCAATTTATGAGATCATGCGGGACTTCATCAAAGCTTTGCTGAAGTCCAGAGACACTGTCCACTGTGTTCTCTTCATCCACCAATTGGCCAAAGGAGGAGATCAAGTTTTCTTGGTATTTATTCTTAGTAAATCCATGCTAGCTACTTGTGATAAGTCTTTCCTCCTCCAGATGCTTGCCAGTGGACTTCCTTAGTAACTTCCTAGGCATCAAGGTGAGCCTAACCAGTCTCTAGTTCCCCACATCCTTCTTTTTGCTATTTTTTGTTGGCCCTTTTCCAGTCCAAGAAGTCTCCCTTGACTTCATAAATATTATTGCCAAAGCTCCAGTATCTCTGCTAGTTCCTTCAATAACCTAGGATGAAGTTCATCAGGCGCTGCTGACTTGAATTCATTCAGACCCATCAAAAGCTCTCTGTTTCTTGTTATCTCATGTCTCAGTTTGTCCCCTTATTCAAAAAAAATTGTATTAGGTGTCTGGTTGCAGCTGAATTCTTCTGTGAAGACTGAGGCAAAGTAACTGTTGAGTTGCTTGGCCTCCTTGTATCTTAAGAGTTCACCCTAGCTATTTAACAGTGGATTCAACATGTGCGCCATACGGGCAGCGAGGAAACAGCTGTGCTGCTTCCTTTCTTTTCTGGCCAGTACACTTATAAAACCTCCTCTTGTTGTCTTTTAACTCTTCCCACCAGGTGCAGCTCATTTGTTACTTTTGCTTTCTAGTTTTTATCCCTGCAGGTTCTGCTGCTTCCTGGTACACTTCCTCGGTGACCTACCTGTTTTCCATTGCCTATGTTTTCCTTTTGCATTTGAGGCATCCTAGAAGCTCCTTGTGCAGCTGCATTGATATCTTACCATTCTTCTGGTGCTTTCCTTGTGTCAGAACAATTTCTTGCTGGATTTCAAATACTGTGCCCTTTAGAGGCTTTCAGGCCTCCTGGGCACCTTTATGATAGGACAACTGCAAATAAATAAGTTAGGGAGATCTGTTCTCTCCCAGTGGTACAGTCAGAACCTTCCCTTTGAGGTTTCAGAATAGCAGTCCTTAAACTTCACTGGTTCAGCTCTCAGCTTGAAGGGAATTATATCTGAAACACTGCATGCAAATGTATCCTTTCTGTGAACAGTGTAAAGCCTTAATAGACTTCAGTATGCGTGAACTGCATCATAAAAAAACCTTATGAAGCTTATAAGGGTCGACGATACCAGGGCTGGCTAAAGACAGGAACTCCCATCTTGGTTCGTGTTCTGCTGCAGAGCAGAATGAGAGTGACTTCAATATTTTTCATAGGAAGGAGAGAAGCAGGCAGACAGAGGCATGCATGAACAATAATCCAATGGGCAGGGTACCCATGTGGAATATGAGAAACCTAGGTTCAGATCTCTAGTCTCAAAAAGCATGTAGATTGCCTTGATTCTTAAGTATTACAAGTTCTCGCTCGGTCTCTGGTTTTGACCAGAAATTCCATTTTGACCTAAGAAACCTTTTTGACAAAATGTCATCAGGAACTTATTTCTACAAAAAAGTTTCCATTTCAACCCATCAGCATACTCTGAAGAAAAACATTTCATCAAAAAAAGTTCCCAACCAATACTGTGTCTAATTATAAACATCCTTTTTAAACACGTTAGGTTCTGACAGCACATCAAGAAGAAACACGATGAAGCAACCACTATTATTTATGCCTTTTGTGTTGTTCAAATTACAAACAAGTGTGTTGTAAGTGACAGCTTGGGATATTTTGGTATCCTATTGAATGACAGGCAATGGCTTGACTCCTTAACTTGTTAAGTCTGAAGAGCCTGCTGATTCTGACTAGGCCTATTGTTGAACCCGAGGCAAAGTAAATTTTCTTGACTTCAAACTTGTAAATGATGAGCAGGGATAAGAACCGTCTTAGCGGCTCTTGGAAAATGTGCGCTATTTCAAGCATACGTGTGACTGAGCTGTGGCTCTCTCCTATGCAAAAGCAAATGGGCAACAGAACCCAGAAGGAAGACATCAAGAGGTGGGGGAGCCCTGCCTGGAGGTAGGGGCCTCTTTTGGGGCATCAAGTAGGTTCAGCTCCAAAACCTGTCACCAGCAATGTCCCCGGATGCCTGCAAAGCTGCACAAATTGCACAAGACTGCTCCTGTGGAGCAGAAACTCAGCTGGAGCTCTGCTCTAGCGCTGAAAACTGAGGCAGCTCTCGCCTTAGCTCTGTTCACTCGGGATTTTATCCAGAGTTTCATAGTTCCACCGTACCCTGAACACTACTCCCTCTATTCCCTGTTCTAGTCTGCAGAGAACACACAGCAAATCCTTTCCTCAATAGCCCTATGGGGACCCAAGATGCAGGGGAAAGGACAGAGTGAGCTCCTGCTCTGCTGTGGTTTTCTGCATGGAGGCCTCTTTGATCTCAGAGCTCCCTGCAGCTGTAGGGTATGCTCTGAATAAGTCCCATGTGGGTGGTTCTTTTCAGAGCGCAGCTGTTAAGTGATATACAGAGCTTCAAGTTCACTTCAGTAGCTGAAGCCATGGGACTGGTGCAAACTGGCTGCTAGATCTAGCAAAGAGCCAATCAGCTGCATGCCACAACTACAATCTGCCCACCTGCACTGCCACAAAACACACCATTTACACTATTATGCTAGCACAGTTTCTCAGTTATTCACCGTCACGGTGAAACAGTGCCAGGGGAGGGGCATCTGCTTCTTGGGCATTTCCTGAATGCACTATAATGCTTTCAACAGCCGCGTGTGTGCAACAAAAAGTCTGCGGCATACAACTTCCAACAAGCTGGCATGCCACCAGCAGCGCACATTACCATTTGGGAACCCTGTGCTTGAGGTTAAAAATAAACCCAAACTCAGATGCCTCTGTAGTCTTTTTAATGTAAAATAAAACAATAGCAAAAAGTTGGCAACAACAGAACAAGCAGCATAGAAATCTCTCATTTAAGGCTGATACCCATGTGCGTGTGCAATGTTCCATAGCAGTATGTCTCCGCCTGGCCGCAGGAGTCTCCCCAAGGTATCCAACCCAGTAGAGAGAGCTAAACATCCACAAGCACTGGCGTTTAGACTCATTTATAGAGTATTATCCATGTACTCTGCATGTGGTGTTCAAAATGAAATGAGACGGAGGAGGAAATCAGATCAGTCTCCCTGCTGAGAATTTAACCCTGGGAGACTGGAGAGATTGGTCAAGTCCTGTGCGGGGGAGGGAGGGGGCGACAGTGGCACACACCTGCTGAGCACACCGACTGATTCACACAGGATTTTAATATTCACAGGACTGAGAGCTTCCTATGAAAAGGAAGTTTAGATGATGATCTCACAGATGATGATCTCAGGGTGCCATTCTAGTGGCTAACAGGCAGCAGTAGAGCCCAGGGCAAGGGCCCCAGAAATCACTGGGCCTTGAGGATCATCTAGTCTAACCCCCTGCACAAACACAGAGTTTGCTATTCAGTAGCATTGTGGAGCTGGAAGGGACTTTAAGGGACATATGCATCAGTGACGTTTGAATTCACAACCCCCGGTTTACAAGTCCAGGGCTCTGACCTTGCAACTGTGGAGACACATAGCGTGAAAGATAATAGTATGAAAAGGAGACTCCAACAAGGATGCAGGCAGGACCTTTATGAGAAAATAAAAAGAACTGAGCAAGGACAGGAGGGAGCAGCCTGGCAGTTGCTGCCTGACACTTCTGGTTTACACATTAGTGTAATGTTCTCTTCTGCACTTCTATGGTGGGGCCTCCCTAGGGGGAATAGGTGGGTTTTTGTCATGTGGTAAACCCACAGTCCAGCATGTGTATAGTATGATGCTAACATAGGGGACTGGACTAAAAAGCCCAGAAACCACCTTCCAATCCTACGTACTTGTGTGTTAGGTGACCATGGTTAAAAAAAACAAAACCTAGTTGCTTGAGATTTACCTTGAGCTCCTCTAGGACTATAGATGCCATACCTCCCCCACAATGTCACCATACTCATCTGGTCAGACCCTTTTGTCCCTCCCCACTGAAAGACTGAGTTTGAGCTACAGATATAGATCAGTCACTAATAACAGAGCTAAGCATGTACATCCAGAGCTAAGCACGTACAAGCCAGGACAGGCTAGCTACTTAGCAACAGCACCATAAGCAGTCATGGCAGGCAGAAGCTGCCAAACCCTGAGCTGAAGCCTCTGCTTCTAGGGGTAGGGAACCATGGAGGTAGAGAAGAAGGGAGCTGTTCTAAGTCACTAGTAATGGCAGAGGCAGGGCAGTCTGCAAGACCTTCTAAACTGGTTAAGGAGAAGAGGACATGCAAGAAGTGCCTCAAGCAGCACCACACATATATATGTCCTCTAGCCTCCACAGCAAAAGGCACTCACTTGGACTACCAAAAGGTAAGGTGTCAACAACCAGCACTTCAGACCCAGCCAGGGCTTGTCCTCTAGTGGCCAGGAAATTACCTTTCTGCAGACCAAGTCCTGTGAAACCCTGCTGCCATGACAAAGTTGATCCCAAAGAGATACTCTGACAATGGGAGACAGAGAAGCTCCCTTACAAAGCCTGCCATGGCACAGGCAGAGGATGAGAAGGCATCTTCCCTCTTTGGACTTATTCTTTATAAGATTTAAAGTGTAAAGAAAACAGAAATAAGAGAGGCAAAGAGCATCTACATCAGCTCATTACAACAGAACAAGAACAACAGGGATTCCCTCTCACATACAGAGGCCAGCAAATTTCCTTAGAGATCAGTGCACTTGGGACAATGCAGCAAGGAATGCAGTGCCCTCCACTCAGAACCCTCCACTCAGAACCCGCTGTATTCATGATCACAGTAACCTACGTAGAGGGGCTCAGCCTGGATGCCACGCCTACAAGAGAAAGAGACACAGATGTTAGGTGGGGACAGATGCACAGAACCCAGGCATTGAAACTGTCAGGTCCTTAAAAGGGGAGATATCTCCCTTTGGGGCACCAATAGGGGTGGGAATTTTAGATGCAACACTTGTGAAGCAGGGAAATTGTAACCTCTTCTTGCCCCTGTACTGAATTTTTTAGTTATTTGGTAATAATTTTTGTACTGACAAAAGTGAGGGTAGAAGCTGGTTTTCACAGGTTAAGCAGGAGGCATTCTGATTGCTACCTGGATGGAAGACCCTCAAGTAAAAATAAAAATAAAAATGTTGCAAGAAACGGCATTGGTAATAATGTAGCGCACGGGTGGGCAAAATACAGCCCACGGGCCAGATTCGGTCCATGAGGCCATTCTATCTGGCCCGCAGGGCACCTAAAGAATTTAGAAAATTAATATTTCTCTGCTCTTGGTTACTGTCAAAAATGACAGGAACCAAGGACAGTAGGACTCAGGGGAAGCCCGGCGAACTCCTACAACAGCAGGGCCCGCCCGGCCCCACCCCACCAGCTGGAAGCCCCAGCAGGGGCTTCTGGCCTGGGACCCTGTGACTGCCCTGCACTGTGGGGGGAAGGGGGAGGAGGAAGGGCAGGGAAGGAGCCCAGGGAAAAGTGGCCTGGGGAAAAGCTGAGCACAGTGGGGAGGAAAAGCGGCCCTTTGCCTGCCCCTTGGCCAGCACCCCATGCTGCAGCTGCTCGCAACCTGCCTGGGGATGCCTGTGCCTGCTCCAGACAGCCCCGTGTGAGCTGCGAACGGCTGCAACAGGGAGTGCCGGCCACGGGGTGGGCAAGGGGCCACTTTTTTCCCACCCCATGCTCAGTTTTTCCCTGGGCTCCTTCCCAGTGCCTTCCCCACCCTGTGGCCAGCGCTCCCTGCTGCAGGCACTCGCAACCCATGCGGGGCTGTCCAGAGCAGGCACAGGCAGCCCCAGGCGGGCTGTGAGTGGCTGCAGCACAGAGCACTGGGCGGCAAGGGGCTACTTTCCCCCCTCCCATGCTTAGCACCACGTTGAAACCTGGCCCCACTGCCAGCCTGGGCCCCATGCCAGCTCCGAGCTAGCCCATCGGGGCTGTGTGTGGCAACAGCAGCTGCAGCCTCCCCCAACTGGCTGTGCCAGGAAGTGTTTGCCACAGCCGCCTGTGGGTTGCCCAGCGCGTGCTCTGGGCAGGCAGCTGCAGTCAACACTGCACGGTGCGGCACGTGGGGGGGGCCGCAGCTGCTGCCGCCATGCACAGCCCTGATGGACAAC